GATTCCTGGGTCTCGGGCATATAATTAAACATGCAGATATTTCCAGCTTCATCGGACATCAGGAATGCAAGATGACTGAAAAAAGTCTATCTTAGGCTAAAAATCAATTTGGTCAAGATTTTAGAAAACAAACCGATTATCCACTAGGAATTCCGCTGCCATAGGTGACGGGGCAGCTGGTCGATCGTCTCTTGACGCAACCGAGAGCGCTTTGAATTGTTCCTAGAAAAGAAAGAATGGTACAGTTAAAGGAGATCTCTCGGAAATTGAAGTGTTCAACTGATTGAAGAAGTTAGTGGTATGGCCTAGAAAAACGAAAAATTGACCTGGAATCGAACGAGGGACATAGAATCGTGCATATCACATGCGATAGCGAGATTACGAATTGATACCAACGAATGTACATAGTAATGCATGTCCAGAAATGATATTCCTTGCAAATCATTGTCTCGGAATCCCCAAATGAATACCTGGAATATTCACTTTATGGAATTGAAAAAGAGGCACCTCGGGATAACAATTGCAAGAACATGCCTTTTGTGCCATTCCACTCAAAAGGAGACCGTTAATTGAAGTAAGCGCTGTAACGGGACCTTTCTGCTCCTTATCATATACAATCTAAATTAATAAAAATTCATACCGACTGTATAAAACCTTCCATACCCGAACTCACTTTGATTTTATGCTTTGAAGTTGGCTTGCCAGGTTCCGGCACAACATCTATAATTTCAGCAAGTATTATTCGACCTCGGACCAATACCTGCAAAACACATGAACTATACACATGAACTCTGCTCAAAAGCTTTCCAATAAAAGGAAATCAGGTTAACCACTAACGAGTTGTCAGTGAGAACAAGATTTTCCGACGAAGAAGCACCTACTTTGATGTAAAAGAAGACTTTAATCATATACCATACACTCTAGTTCGCTGCGGACGGTTGGGCGTGTCAGGCAGTATGAGTGTGTCACACCGTAAAAGTTCTCTGCCTTTCTTGTTAAAGCGCGCATGCGACAAAAAGTGGTAGCGAGTATTACGAACGATATGATACAGTCATATCACACTTGCTCGCTTTAACAACTGGTGGAGAACGGGTTTGGCACCGCGCCAAACTCATCCCGCCTGACACGCCCAACCGTCCGCAGCGAACTGCACTCTAAATACAGGCAATGTATAGTTTTGTCCATTAGGGACCTGGACCTTGTCAGGAAAATGGATTTGGTGCAGCGCTAGCCCCCTAACCAACTCGTTAGAGGAGGCAAGCGGCAACAATCGGTGGGAAATTAGGCAGGCGAGAGGAGGCAAGCGGCAACAATCGGTGGGAATTAGGCAGGCGAGAGGAGGCAAGCGGCAACAATCGGTGGGAATTAGGCAGGCGCCGCGCCAAACCTAGCGGCCCAGCCCCCGCCCCCTGCGACCGCAGCGAAAAAGACTGTACGAGCTGCACCGTACTCGAGTTCAAAATGCGAAGTAATTTGTAAAATTGCGAAAAAATAATTATAAGGCCGCATCAAAATCGAAAAATAATAATAAGGCCGCAATCATGTTCCGCTATTCACGCGATTCACTGCGCAACTGCAATCAACCGGGCTTTAGCTAATGGTTGCAACGGTCGAATGAAATTCCATTCTGAATGTGATTGAACCTCCAGTCACAAATTATAAACGCCAATTACGAAAAGTTGTGATCAGACCGTCGCAGCGCAACTACCACGAGTAGGCTTGCACGGCCAATTGTGCGCACTTCGACGCGGCTCCTAGCACCATTTGCCAACTTGTCAGTAATATTACCTACTACTCCATCTCACCGATATTTGACTGCTTTTGATTTCAGTACGAGTATACCCTGATTTGACTAGCATGGCTGACTCGCATAAGTTTCCCGAGCTGCCTCAGAGTCAAGAGTTGTATGGCTACGTCTTTGCGTGACTCGAGGACCTTCTCAAAATTAGACATTTTTAGCCCATCTGGTCGAACATTTCATGTGAACTTTTGCGAAGATGACAAAGAGAAAAGCCTTCCGTAGCCAGACATACCTCTTCACCATAGTTGTTGATTGTTCCAACGGCTAAATAAACTTGCATTCCACTGATTGTAGATTCAGAACGCAGGGTGACTTCTTCACATGCAGTGACCACCTCCATTTCTTCAAACTTTATATCTGTATTAGGCACGGGTTTCCAGTCCACAGCAGAGTACAGCTGAAAATGAGGAAAAAGGTAAACGTACAGTTACAATTTATTACTATTTTGTGAATAGGCAAGACACAGCGGACACATACATTGAGAGTGTATTGTGGGATGGATGGAAGAACGAAATTATCATTCTTCTCATGTGTTTCAACCTGCTTGTCATCATTCACTACAACCCATATTTTATTGCTCTTCATCGGTACAGAGGTTGTTACAGCATATACCTTAAACGGAAAAGGAACGTTATTCGGTTTCAAAGGGAATCAGGAAAAAAAATGACCTGACTACTCATGATATAGCGGACATGATGAACTGTCGATCCAATATGTACTTTTCTGCAAGGGTAAGGCAACTCATAGTCCATGTCAACCTGCAGAACGTTTCAGATCACAGGCATCATATCATCATCATTATAAGGATTTCCCTCGCATAACACACTTTAGCTTTACCTGCAGCCGTGCAATACGCAACTCTTGTAAGTTACTTGCAATGTACAGGAATCCATTTGGTACATTTTGATTGTTAAATGCAGTGAATGCCGATATGGGACCGTCGATTGTCATAGGATGGCATTGCAGTCCGCCCCAAGCCCCTACCAACACTAAGCATGGAAACGCACCAGTCAGTACCACACCGTGCATCTGCAAAGTGTTTCCGAAAATAAGGCAGGATGGGAAAAGTCAGCGGAAAATGAAACAGTATAAACTCACAACACCACAAACACGCTCGAAAGAATGAATAATTACACGATGTTGCTCAATCTCTCTCCCTACTTCAACCTGAAAATGGCAATGGAACCGGAATATATTTTCATAATTCCGCTAATTATGTACCTCAGCTCTTCTTCCATCATGTCCCATAAAGGGTGCAGATCTGATAGTCACTGTTAAGGACAAACGACGAAACCCAATAGCAAGGTGCTCTGAAAATAGAATAATCACCCTTACTCTATTTTCTGGGGTACAAGGCGCATTTATCTGCCCGGTCACAGATAAGCATGTTACAACGCGCGCGAAAATTTTCTTAACACACCAACAGTTTTTAGTAATCATAAGATTGCTGAGTTACAGGCAAAACCAGACCCCGTGCGAGACCCGCTCCCGCTAACCGGGCGAACGCGCTATCCATTACACCTTCGGAGCTGCTATTATCCTTTCGATCTGATGGCTATGGCACAAAAAGCAGTTGAGCTGAAAGCGGAACAGCGGCGTCATTGGCCTAATGGATAGCTCACTTGGGTCAGCGATCGGTGCGGGTTCGAGTCTGTCCTGGCGTCTTAATTTCGCCCACAACTCAGTATTCTTGTGGTAACTTCCGCAGCGCGCACTGCGGCATTAAGCAACATTTATCAAAATAAGGCTGTTCAGTCTTCCTTGTAGAATTCAATCTTCAGATGGACTTTTGACCATATATTTCTTCAACACAGATCATAAGAATAGAAAAGAAGAAAGAAAAACCGCAAAAGTAAAGATAGTAAATATTAGCCTCTCTCGAGCGGACCTTTACACCAGGAGATAAGATAAATCTGCGCCGGAAAACTGCGTAGCGGAAACAGAAAATTTTGGGAAACGAAAAAGTTTCTTCTAGTTCTTGTAGATGTTCCAAGAAACAGATAGTAGAAAGCCAAACCTATCAATGGATTCCTCCATTTGTACATTTCGTAGGTGATAACCTGATCGTCGATAACGGCCATTAGTGTTGGGATGGCCTTGGTTTATACCCATACCTGCAAAGGAAGCATTTGACACTACCAAAAAGAGCTGGAAACAAGTTTACTAACGTTACTCACCAACTATTTGAATTTCCACGATTCTCTCGTTAGGACGAAACTGAACGGAAGAATTCTCAAACTGTTCAGCTCGAGCTTCTAAACGTGAAATCGCTACTTTCAAACATTGAAAAAGTAAGTCAAACAGCATTAAGGAAGTGGGGATGGCACAACAATAGGGCAGACTGACCTTGCTCCTTCCGATCTTTTTCTTCCTCTTCCGGCATCAAATCGGTCACAAGTTCAGGCATCAGACCAAATTTTAAAAACTGCAATTGTGAAAAATACCTTCGACTTGACAGTTCTATGTTGCATAGTGAAAAAAGGATAAAGGATAAAGTCTTCGCCGTTGATCAATCCCTTTGTGGGATGCGGCACGCATTCTACTTCCATTCAGAATCGTAGTGGCTTATTGAATGCGATGTGGCCTATACAATGACTTGCGGGGCCAGCCGATGTACAAGTCAGTGTTTTATCCTCCCAGACGAATCTGGTACCAATTTACCGTCCCCGGAGGGTAGAAGGCTTGGTTGGCCTGGGCGGGAGTCGACCCGGGATTCGAACCCGGGACCGCGCGAGTGGTAAGCGCGCCACTTGTCACTACACCACCTCCGCCTCAGCGAAACACTACCTGTTGACAAACTGACCTGATAAACAACTCTCATATCGGGTAGAGAGTGAATTACAACTTTTCCACTGTCGCGAGCCAAAATAAGCCAATATGTTGGTTCCACTGAAATAGTAGTCAAATTTGAACAAAATGAGCTTGCATGTAATGAATAGTGTCAGAGTTCATTAAAACGTACCGGTGTTGGGATCGATGGCGTCGGACTCCTCACCACCGGTCGTAACACTACTAACTTCCGCCATTCGCTTTCTTTTACGGAAGCCCTCATCTGAACAAAAAAATATAAAGATAGTCTCCGCG